TCTTCTTCTTCTTTTTTTTTTTTATTGTCCCGCGGCATCTTGACTAATTTTTAAAAAGGAAAAACCCATTGACCTGCTGTGAGATTTTTGGATTTGGCATTGAAACCAGAAACCAGCTAAGATAAAATGAATCCTTTTTTATTTTTGCAGTTATAATCTACAATTTTCCTTACCAGTTTTTAAAGTGTTTTCAAAAGTTTAATACTTTTTGTTGATCTTTTCCTTGTGGTAGTACGAGTTTTTAAAATGTTTTTCAGCACATTTTCCCAAGAGCTTCCCATTTGATTCCGGATCATTCCCTACTTCATCTTTTCTGTCTTTTCCTAAGCCATTTTTCACTTTCATCTCCCACTTCAGCTTCCCATTCTGGTTAATGTAGTTAGTTCGTGAGTGTCTGGGATGAGTAAGAGAGAGGATATAGAGGAGAGGTGCATAAGGCACATATATACTCAAGTTGATTACATTCATGTCTGCAGTTCTGCTAACAAACAATCTTGTTTCGGTGATGTTTAATTAAAGTTCACCTAGAAGTGATAATCTACTCTCCTTTCAATATATATATATTATCTTTTTGTAGTTTTTGATTCTATAGTTTTTTTTTTTTTTTGTTTTTTTGGCTGGGTTTTTGATTCTGTAAGTTTTCTGATCGTAGGCATTCTTTGTAATGTCTTCGCTAAATGAGTCAGAGTACATAAGGCATTTGGTTTGACATTTTTTCATTATGTTTGACTGAACTGGTTCTCCTGCTGCTTGTGCTTGTCTTAGCTTCCATTTGCAGAGGGTCAGAGACTTGATATTATTGTAGTTTGTTTTCTCAGGATAGTTTTGGGAGACTGCATGAGAAGGGGAAGGCGGTTCCCAAGGAAACAAAGCTGACAAAACTTTTCCCCAATAAAGTAACCATTCACATGCCACAGGTATGTCCTTGCTGTTCTGGGAAAATCAGTTGGCTTGTGTTTTTTACAATATGTAATAGTAGGTTATAAGCCATTGCAGGATGAGGGACTTCTTGTGAGCTGGAAGCATCAATTGGATAGAGATGCTGAGACTCTTAAAATGAAGGGAAATCTGAATCAGCTGTGTACGGTGAGCAATTCTTTTATAACTAGATTATTGAGTATTATGAAGTCGTCTTGTTTTTTAACATTATCAAATTAGTGTATATGTTTGCTCTATGGATGGAGTTTCAAGTTTCCTCCACAAACTTATTAAACTTTCTAGTCTTGCTCCAAATGGTTAAGTCTTTGAATGTTTAGTTTTATACTAATACACCTAAATTTACTCCATGAAATGAGACATTGACTTCAGACTAATTCCTCGAACTTTATAGAATTCCAACTTATAGTTAACTTGAAGACCTTTAAACTTAATTTTTCAATTGATGTTGTCTTTGATTTTTAACTTCTTGGGCATTTAAGTTTCAAAATATCGTGAAATGCAACACATCAGTGTTGACATCATTGTCATGCTGTTTATTAAAGGGAAAAAAATTAAAGGGAAAAAAAAGAAAGACCTTTTGGCATTGTATTGTTATGTATCTATGTCTTGGCAAAAGGCAATAAAGGAATCTAGGAATGCCCAGGCTCTAAGCATGTTAAAAAATTTCATACTTTGTTTTATAGTGTAGGGTATTTTCTTCAAGGTTTGATGCTTAAAGATGTCACATTTAGAAATGATTCACATTTATAATCTGCTGTTTTTGTCTTGCATAGGTCCTGAATCGGATTGGGTTGGAATGTGATGGATTTGAGACATTGTCCATCAAGAACCAAACACTTACAAATGAAAGTACGTTTTGGTTTTTGTCACACAAGGAAATCCAGTATTGCCCTTATAAATGAATATGGTTTCAATCTCAAGATATCCTGTCCTTAAGTCAATTTGAGTATGTAATAATATCTCGTTTGTCCCTTTATTTTGGCGGTCCTTCCTCCTTTTGGGGGGTGAAAATGATCGTCACAATTAACTTTTCCCTAATTTTGTTACTCCATTTGAGATGCCTTATATTCAGTACTTTCTTCTTCTTCTTCTTTTTTTTTTTTATTGTCCCGCGGCATCTTGACTAATTTTTAAAAAGGAAAAACCCATTGACCTGCTGTGAGATTTTTGGATTTGGCATTGAAACCAGAAACCAGCTAAGATAAAATGAATCCTTTTTTATTTTTGCAGTTATAATCTACAATTTTCCTTACCAGTTTTTAAAGTGTTTTCAAAAGTTTAATACTTTTTGTTGATCTTTTCCTTGTGGTAGTACGAGTTTTTAAAATGTTTTTCAGCACATTTTCCCAAGAGCTTCCCATTTGATTCCGGATCATTCCCTACTTCATCTTTTCTGTCTTTTCCTAAGCCATTTTTCACTTTCATCTCCCACTTCAGCTTCCCATTCTGGTTAATGTAGTTAGTTCGTGAGTGTCTGGGATGAGTAAGAGAGAGGATATAGAGGAGAGGTGCATAAGGCACATATATACTCAAGTTGATTACATTCATGTCTGCAGTTCTGCTAACAAACAATCTTGTTTCGGTGATGTTTAATTAAAGTTCACCTAGAAGTGATAATCTACTCTCCTTTCAATATATATATATTATCTTTTTGTAGTTTTTGATTCTATAGTTTTTTTTTTTTTTTGTTTTTTTGGCTGGGTTTTTGATTCTGTAAGTTTTCTGATCGTAGGCATTCTTTGTAATGTCTTCGCTAAATGAGTCAGAGTACATAAGGCATTTGGTTTGACATTTTTTCATTATGTTTGACTGAACTGGTTCTCCTGCTGCTTGTGCTTGTCTTAGCTTCCATTTGCAGAGGGTCAGAGACTTGATATTATTGTAGTTTGTTTTCTCAGGATAGTTTTGGGAGACTGCATGAGAAGGGGAAGGCGGTTCCCAAGGAAACAAAGCTGACAAAACTTTTCCCCAATAAAGTAACCATTCACATGCCACAGGTATGTCCTTGCTGTTCTGGGAAAATCAGTTGGCTTGTGTTTTTTACAATATGTAATAGTAGGTTATAAGCCATTGCAGGATGAGGGACTTCTTGTGAGCTGGAAGCATCAATTGGATAGAGATGCTGAGACTCTTAAAATGAAGGGAAATCTGAATCAGCTGTGTACGGTGAGCAATTCTTTTATAACTAGATTATTGAGTATTATGAAGTCGTCTTGTTTTTTAACATTATCAAATTAGTGTATATGTTTGCTCTATGGATGGAGTTTCAAGTTTCCTCCACAAACTTATTAAACTTTCTAGTCTTGCTCCAAATGGTTAAGTCTTTGAATGTTTAGTTTTATACTAATACACCTAAATTTACTCCATGAAATGAGACATTGACTTCAGACTAATTCCTCGAACTTTATAGAATTCCAACTTATAGTTAACTTGAAGACCTTTAAACTTAATTTTTCAATTGATGTTGTCTTTGATTTTTAACTTCTTGGGCATTTAAGTTTCAAAATATCGTGAAATGCAACACATCAGTGTTGACATCATTGTCATGCTGTTTATTAAAGGGAAAAAAATTAAAGGGAAAAAAAAGAAAGACCTTTTGTCATTGTATTGTTATGTATCTATGTCTTGGCAAAAGGCAATAAAGGAATCTAGGAATGCCCAGGCTCTAAGCATGTTAAAAAATTTCATACTTTGTTTTATAGTGTAGGGTATTTTCTTCAAGGTTTGATGCTTAAAGATGTCACATTTAGAAATGATTCACATTTATAATCTGCTGTTTTTGTCTTGCATAGGTCCTGAATCGGATTGGGTTGGAATGTGATGGATTTGAGACATTGTCCATCAAGAACCAAACACTTACAAATGAAAGTACGTTTTGGTTTTTGTCACACAAGGAAATCCAGTATTGCCCTTATAAATGAATAATTCCTGAATAAACAATAACTTAGTAAAATTATGTATTGGCATGTATTGAAGGTGCAGCGAAGGCAATTGGGTGGGCTTTGAGCCACCATTTAATGCAGAACCCCAAAGCTGATGCTGATGGAAGGCTTGTTTTGTCTAGTGAGAGGTAATAGAGATCTTGCCAGTGTAAATTGGAGTATTTGTTACTATGTGTTTGATACTGACATATTGCAATTCTGGCAGCATCCAGTATGGGATTGGAATTTTACAGGCTATCCAGAATGAATCCAAGAGCTTGAAGAAGTCGCTAAAGGTATTATTTTTGGATTGTGAAGTCCAGATGTATGTTTATAAAATTTTATTTATACATGCATAAATATAAAGGAAATTCTGGTGTGAAGCTTTTTCTTAATTTCTTTTCTAGGGTTACATATTAATTAAATTTTTGGGCTTAATCTCAGGATGTCGTGACAGAATGAATTTGAGAAAAGGCTTTTAGCTGATGTTATTCCACCCAGTGACATTGGACTGACTTTTGATGATATCGGAGCTCTTGAAAATGTCAAGGACACACTAAAGGAGTTGGTGATGCTCCCTTTACAGAGGCCTGAGCTTTTTTGCAAGGGTCAATTAACAAAGGTTTTCGCATCTCTCCTTTTTTCAGCGTTGATAATGGTTGCCTTAGCTGAAGAATAGTTTAGGCTATAACAAATTGTGGTGTTCGTATGCGTCATGTAGTTTTGGTTAAAATGTTTTCTGTGGTCTACGGTGCGGATGAGATTATTAAAAAATAAAATAAAATAAATTATAAATGTACACTTGTTTGAAATCACCAGCTTTTTCTCTTTCAATCAATGATTCTTTGACAAAATATGGTTGGTTATCTAATTTATTGTACTATTTTTTTATTTTTCTCTGTTCTGGTGCAAATGCTTTTGTTGACCATATGCCTGTAAACATCATTTTTTGATGTGTTTCTGCTGAATGGGTATTGTTGACCTATGTTTGGAGTCAGGCACCGCACATTTTCATGCATGAACACGACACTCTAATTGCTTATTGATACCATATGCTTTGAAGTAGTCTATAGAGTATATAATTATTCTAAAACTGGCATATAAAGATCTGTGTGTGTGTGTGTGTGTGTGCGCCCATGGTTTTATGATTCATGTCTGGTATATTGTGTTTTTTGCCCTTACCAGATTTTGGCACTTCCTTTCTGTTGGTTTTTTTAGAGATGATTTTATGAGTCACCAAGAGTATGTAATTCTGATGCTTTGATTTACAGCCATGCAAGGGTATTCTTTTATTTGGGCCCCCTGGAACTGGAAAGACAATGCTTGCAAAGGCTGTGGCCACTGAAGCTGGTGCAAACTTCATCAATATTTCTATGTCAAGCATCACATCTAAGGTTAATATTGATCAGGAGATTCTATTAACTATGGTTATATCTCTTTGATGATTTCACCTACTAGTTTTCAACTCACTTCTGTCCCCATCTTACTGCAGTGGTTTGGCGAGGGTGAAAAATATGTGAAAGCTGTCTTCTCACTAGCTAGTAAAATTGCCCCTAGTGTTGTATTTGTTGACGAAGTATGCTCTGCTTATGACTCCTTTAAACTTAATTTTTCAATTGATGTTGTCTTTGATTTTTAACTTCTTGGGCATTTAAGTTTCAAAATATCGTGAAATGCAACACATCAGTGTTGACATCATTGTCATGCTGTTTATTAAAGGGAAAAAAATTAAAGGGAAAAAAAAGAAAGACCTTTTGTCATTGTATTGTTATGTATCTATGTCTTGGCAAAAGGCAATAAAGGAATCTAGGAATGCCCAGGCTCTAAGCATGTTAAAAAATTTCATACTTTGTTTTATAGTGTAGGGTATTTTCTTCAAGGTTTGATGCTTAAAGATGTCACATTTAGAAATGATTCACATTTATAATCTGCTGTTTTTGTCTTGCATAGGTCCTGAATCGGATTGGGTTGGAATGTGATGGATTTGAGACATTGTCCATCAAGAACCAAACACTTACAAATGAAAGTACGTTTTGGTTTTTGTCACACAAGGAAATCCAGTATTGCCCTTATAAATGAATAATTCCTGAATAAACAATAACTTAGTAAAATTATGTATTGGCATGTATTGAAGGTGCAGCGAAGGCAATTGGGTGGGCTTTGAGCCACCATTTAATGCAGAACCCCAAAGCTGATGCTGATGGAAGGCTTGTTTTGTCTAGTGAGAGGTAATAGAGATCTTGCCAGTGTAAATTGGAGTATTTGTTACTATGTGTTTGATACTGACATATTGCAATTCTGGCAGCATCCAGTATGGGATTGGAATTTTACAGGCTATCCAGAATGAATCCAAGAGCTTGAAGAAGTCGCTAAAGGTATTATTTTTGGATTGTGAAGTCCAGATGTATGTTTATAAAATTTTATTTATACATGCATAAATATAAAGGAAATTCTGGTGTGAAGCTTTTTCTTAATTTCTTTTCTAGGGTTACATATTAATTAAATTTTTGGGCTTAATCTCAGGATGTCGTGACAGAATGAATTTGAGAAAAGGCTTTTAGCTGATGTTATTCCACCCAGTGACATTGGACTGACTTTTGATGATATCGGAGCTCTTGAAAATGTCAAGGACACACTAAAGGAGTTGGTGATGCTCCCTTTACAGAGGCCTGAGCTTTTTTGCAAGGGTCAATTAACAAAGGTTTTCGCATCTCTCCTTTTTTCAGCGTTGATAATGGTTGCCTTAGCTGAAGAATAGTTTAGGCTATAACAAATTGTGGTGTTCGTATGCGTCATGTAGTTTTGGTTAAAATGTTTTCTGTGGTCTACGGTGCGGATGAGATTATTAAAAAATAAAATAAAATAAATTATAAATGTACACTTGTTTGAAATCACCAGCTTTTTCTCTTTCAATCAATGATTCTTTGACAAAATATGGTTGGTTATCTAATTTATTGTACTATTTTTTTATTTTTCTCTGTTCTGGTGCAAATGCTTTTGTTGACCATATGCCTGTAAACATCATTTTTTGATGTGTTTCTGCTGAATGGGTATTGTTGACCTATGTTTGGAGTCAGGCACCGCACATTTTCATGCATGAACACGACACTCTAATTGCTTATTGATACCATATGCTTTGAAGTAGTCTATAGAGTATATAATTATTCTAAAACTGGCATATAAAGATCTGTGTGTGTGTGTGTGTGTGTGCGCCCATGGTTTTATGATTCATGTCTGGTATATTGTGTTTTTTGCCCTTACCAGATTTTGGCACTTCCTTTCTGTTGGTTTTTTTAGAGATGATTTTATGAGTCACCAAGAGTATGTAATTCTGATGCTTTGATTTACAGCCATGCAAGGGTATTCTTTTATTTGGGCCCCCTGGAACTGGAAAGACAATGCTTGCAAAGGCTGTGGCCACTGAAGCTGGTGCAAACTTCATCAATATTTCTATGTCAAGCATCACATCTAAGGTTAATATTGATCAGGAGATTCTATTAACTATGGTTATATCTCTTTGATGATTTCACCTACTAGTTTTCAACTCACTTCTGTCCCCATCTTACTGCAGTGGTTTGGCGAGGGTGAAAAATATGTGAAAGCTGTCTTCTCACTAGCTAGTAAAATTGCCCCTAGTGTTGTATTTGTTGACGAAGTATGCTCTGCTTATGACTCCTTTAGGCCGTGTTTGGATCATGATTTATGGATTTAGATAGGAATTCGGAAAGGGAAAGGAAAAGCCGAGAGAAATGTGAATGAAGCATAAGCTAATTTTTTCCTCCACTTGCTTTGCCTTTTTCTTTTTTCTTTGAACATCCCTATCCAAATCTTTGATCTAAACACAGCCTTAATATTTTGGATTTTGATTTGCGTCAACTTATTGAATCCTTTTGCTTGTCTTTTTTTTTCTAAAGGTTGATAGCATGTTGGGCCTGAGCGAAAATCCAGGGGAACATGAGGCCATGCGTAAGATGAAAAATGAATTTATGATGAACTGGGATGGCTTGCGAACAAAAGATACAGAACGAGTTCTGGTACTTGCAGCTACAAACAGGCCATTTGATCTTGATGAGGCTGTTATCCGAAGGCTGCCGCGTAGGTAAAACCACAGTTCAAAATGGGCCCAAAAATTAAAATGCTGACTTATCTTTGCCCCTGCATTTGGGAGTTTTTTAGGTTGTGACGTGTGTTTTTCAAATAGATTGATGGTCAACCTGCCGGATGCTCCAAATAGAGGAAAGATATTGAAAGTGATCCTAGCCAAAGAGGATTTGTCTCCCAATGTTGATTGGGATTCAATTGCAAGTATGACAGGGGGATATTCTGGAAGTGACCTTAAGGTAGCTTTTGGTCTCTTTTTTTCCTCGCATAACATGAACTCTTATTATTGTTGATGCGTGCTGTGTTTCTGCCACACTCAAAAGTAAATTTTTTACATTGCAGAACCTATGTGTAACCGCTGCCCATTGCCCAATTAGAGAGATTTTGGAAAAGGAAAAGAAGGTTTGTTTCTTTCGGTTAATGAATAAGCAGCTTATTGAATTGGAAATAGAATGATATCATTTGTGTATAGTAACAACTGAAATTATACTTGTGCCATAATCATATTTACTGCCCAAATGTTTGGTGATTGTTGTCCTCATCAATGTGTTTTCCATTTTATTTCTGGCTGGGAAATAATTAAAATGAACACTGAAAATTTGACAGGAGCGAGCTGCAGCACTATCCGAAGGTAAACCCGCTCCAGCATTGAGTGGCAGTGCTGATATCCGTCCTTTAAACATGGACGACTTCAAACATGCTCACGAACAGGTAAAGAGGAAACAACTGAAGATTACATATGATTTATAATTCACTCAATCATCTTATATTATTTCAGTTTTATTTATTTTATTTTATTTTTGAACTCGCCTTCTTACCCATTACCATACTAGGTTTGTGCAAGCGTTTCATCTGAATCTATAAACATGACGGAGCTCTTACAGTGGAATGAACTCTACGGCAAAGGGGGTTCTAGAAGGAAGAAGGGTCTCAGTTACTTCATGTGAAGGCTTGTCATCTCTGTACAAATGGTTCTTTCTCTTCCTCAACTCTCTGTACTTTATTTTCTCCTCTCTCCTATAGGCCAAGCTTAGTCACTGCTCTCTCAGAGCTGATGTGAAGCCATTTTGTCTTTAAAATTAGGTTAATTAAGCTACATTTTTATATCGTTTACTTACAAGATAGTTGGTATGAAGGTTGTATAGCCTTGCAAATTTTGGCATCGCTTAGTTTTTGTTTGGTCCCTCCCATCTCCTTGTTCTCGATGTGAAGAGAACCACTGCTCTATTCTAGTGAAGAAAAAAATAATAATAAAATAAACAAATAAAAATCTATAGTTTGTACACATATTTGTAGTCAATTCTTAATGATGATCTTTAGAATCCAATCAAACAATAAGAAATCTGCATGGTTATGATTTGTAGTTTTTTTGGTATTTTTCGAATGCATGTTTAATTATGCGTGCTAACAAGTGTTTGTTTATGCAAGCTTATGAAATTTTGTTATGCAACAATCATCCTCAGTAGGTATACATTTTTCTTTTCTTTTTTCTGCGATCAACTCTCTGATTAGTCCCAATCACAGACCGCACATTATACATTTTTCTTTTCTTTTTTCTGCGATCAACTCTCTGATTAGTCCCAATCACAGACCGCACATTATACATTTTTCTTTTCTTTTTTCTGCGATCAACTCTCTGATTAGTCCCAATCACAGACCGCACATTATACATTTTTCTTTTCTTTTTTCTGCGATCAACTCTCTGATTAGTCCCAATCACAGACCGCTGACCTTGGTGTACCAATATTAATACCATCACCAATACTTATTTTCATTTTTTAATTTAGAAGTAATACCTGGCAGATACCAAAAATGCATAATGTTTCTTTGCACCAATTTTTCCCTTTTCATTCAAAGTTCAGTCCTAAATTTGGTTTTGGTGTGGTTTTTGTTTTTGTTTTTAGACAAAATTGGAAAAAAGAAAACCTATTTGACAAACTAATATTGGAAATATTTTTTGTAGACATTTCATTTTTTAGGAAACAGTTGTAAGTTAATTTTGAATTTTTAAAAATTGTTTTTGCACCAATATGAAAAGGATGGATGTTTTCAACCATTTAAAAATTTGTTGCTTGAAATAAATAAATAAAGGGTCAATAAGGCATAGTCCGCCTTAAGGTTTCTGACAAATGTATAGATTTGCCATCTAGTGTTTGAAATTACACCGACCTCCTCTTTTAGAATGAGTTGTTGAGTAGGGGATGGAAAGTAACATATTGTAAATTTACTACTTTTTAACTGTCCACCAAATTCAATTTCCATTGTACAAAATTCGTTCTCAAAACCCAAACTATATCATTTATTATTCCATATCTAATGCCATCTATCTAGATCTAGTAACCAAATTATGTTTCTTACTTCTCCATGTGATGAGATTGCCTTCAACAAATGTGCAATATCTAGAAAGTAATCGTTTGTTAGTGATTGATCCAACTCAACCCGCATTAGTAAATGCCTTCACACTGAGATGTCTATGTTTTGAAAAATAGAGACCCTTTTTAGGAGAAGCCTTCAGGTATCTCAGAATTCTCGAGTTCAATGAGCCTAAGTACACCATATGTCGTGATTATAAGCACTTAGTTTATTTTATTTTCATCCCAAGGTTGAAGTGCTTGGTACCTGTGTCACTTTGCAAGCACAACTCATTTTGATCACGAAAAATCCACACTTCACTTGTAGATGTGGGCACCGTCAATATCCCACCATCTAGGCAGGAACCAGCAATATTTGATCCTTGGGGATGTGAGATGCTAGAAATTGGATCAAAAAAACGGATGGGCACCAAATGATATGTCATTCGCATGTTGAAACCTCCGCGTGGGAAGTTATTTTATTATATTTTTCAAAAATTTATTAAAACTAAATTTGTTAAAGTAGAATTAACATTAAAATAAAAAAATTACTTGGCATTTTGGGCTTTTGGTGAAAGGTCACTCAACTTTTCTTGCAAAGAGGATAAGCTAAAATGTTTTTATTCATTAAGGACAAATATCATAATATCATTAAAATATGACAAAAATACTCAAAGTTTTACTAGTTTCTTCCCCCACCATCTTAGGCTACCACCACCGCCAGTGACTAGCCACCAATGACCACTACCTTTAGCGGTCGTCGAAGATTGCTTTCTGACCATTGATCACCGGCCACCATTTTTCAAATGAATCTCCAACGGCCATTTTTCAATGACAACCACCACCACCACCACTACCCTATAATCACCACTTAGCAAATAACAAAAAAAAATTATTTAAACCTCACTATTTTATAGACAATAAAAATTTACTCTATTATAATAATAAAATTTTACTGTATCAATGACAGTGGAATTTTGCTATGTCAATGACAGTAAAATTTTACTATATGAATTTAACATTTAAATGATAAAAAATTTCGACATCGTTTCAACATCACCAATCAACACACTTAGAGCATTTTCAAGTGACTCTTTAAATGAGGCTTGTTATAGCTAACATTTATCATATTTTAGTCACTTCAATGAGCTCGCTATTACAATAGCTATTTTAACAAAATTCTTCAAGACTAATTACATTTGAAGGGTCTTAAGAGGCTCTTTAAACAACTTGTGTGTATAAATAGATAAAATAAAGAAGAATTACTTTCTCTTTTTTTTTTTTGGTATTTTAGCTAGTGAAAAATGAAGAGTACATGATTTTACCATTGCTAGTAGAAATATTAAATAAAAAAAATTATCAAAACATTTCTAGAGTAAAATTTTACTCCATGTTGATAGTAAAATTTTCTTGTTTGCTACAAAAACGGAATGGACAACTCAAATGGCCTTTTTCTAACAGATCTATGGTCGTTAGCCTCATATCTGAGTTTGTTAATACCAGATCTATGATGATGGAGGTTGACGGTGAAGATGGTGGTCGTCGATGATAGATTTGATACGGCAATTTGTAGTAGAGATAGTAAGTAGCGCCAACTATAGACATCTCATTTTGACTGACCTTAAGACCTAAACATTTGGATGCTTCCTAATGATAAAAATAGTACACTTTGATGAATAAGTATGTCTGGGCCACTATTCGGCTCGTTCAACCACTTTTTATTCCCAAAAACCATTTTCCATCAAAACATCTATCATTTTAGTATCTTTTGGAAAGATGAGGAGGACAGAGACCCAATTAAAAGTTGACAAATTTTACAAACAATAGCCAAACTTATGATCCAAAATGTCAATTGGGGTTTAATGGGGCTTTCTTGTGTAACAAGAGAATCCAAGAATTGAAGTGTGGACCCAAAATCATAGAAGGCTCGCAAGATTTTCTACTTGAGACCACATATCTTTGGTCTACCCATAGATTCCACTTGCGCCCAAATTATAGGTTTACGGCCACACAATTTATGTTGTGCGGCTGCATAACCTTTGTGTAGTCGTACATGCAAAAGTGTGGCCGCATAAGGATCTCAATATTTGCATATTCGATTTCGGAAGATCTTATTGCCATATCAGAAGAGAGGCACTACAAGATAAAGTGTATACTCATTAATTTTAGCCCTATTATGCATAAATTTGCTCCCTAAGGCTCCTAGGCCTATATATACCGCCTACCTTCCTCCTTTTTGAGAGAGAGAACTCAACACGCCAACATCTGCCAATTTTACTCCCTGGCACATACAAATCCAAAAATACACGTACATATTCGCATATAAAACAATCTAGGCAATGCTTAAAATACTCTAAGTTAAAGAAAATATAACATCCCAAATTTTATTACTCGAATGCCATTACCATATTCCTTATTAGGGTCTATTTCCATAATCATAAAGCGGAAGCTACAATCATTCACTTAAATAATCAATAAATATTCTCTCTCACATATATAATGATGAAGCATTTAATTACAATTGAAGAAATGCCCTTAGGCATACAATTTACATAAATAAACAGGGCTTAACCCATAACAAATACAATGGCATTCAACCTACACAAAAGAAACCTTGTGATCGAAAAAATGAGACAAACTTCTCAACCCAAGTGAAGTCCTTCGTGCCTGCATCTGAAAAAGGTTTAACAATGTAGGATGAACATAACATCCAATAGGGGTCCCAATAATTATTATTAATACAGCCTAGACATGTATATGATCATGAATGCTCCATATGCTACATATATAAGTAATGTTCTCTTTTCATATCCAAAATATGCAGATACATAGGTATACTTTTCCTTAAAAAATAAAATATTAGTTCTTTAATATTTTAAAAGGGACCAATGTCCTTAACTTTCCATTTCATCTTCAATAACTTAAAGAGATTTCATCACTTTCCAACATTTGAAAATCATTTGTTAAAATATTTCCCGTTTCCCTAAGGTAAATCAATTAAAGCCATGACAACAACCATACTACAATTAAACAGTAACGATTTCACATAAATTATAAATAGCTTACAACCATCTATCACATCATACAACTCACACGAACTTCAACTACCATTCCAATTCACAATACTCTATTAAGACATTTCCCATATTTTCTGGTCATAAGCGTAGGGGTAAAAGGGTCATCCACTACAACACATACACATATATAAACAACAGAATTCTCACATAACACAATCCGGCTTCGTCAAGCCATAACCATCCTCTTTACCAGGCAACGCTAGCTAGAAAGAAATTGGTACCTCTCATTCAAAGTGTATCCCACTTTACCAGGCGCTAACTGGAAGGAAATTTGTATCTCTCATTCAAAGCGTAACCACTTTATTGGGTGCTAACTGGAAGGAAATTGGGACCTCTATATAGCACTCTCATCACATACCACATCAATTGCGTAATTAAATAATCAAAACTACATAACACATAAGAGCATCTCCAATGGTTGTTGCTATATTGCCATTGTTATTGCTATAATTTGGCAATAAATAGTGCTATTTTGCCAAATTATAGTAATGGTGCTCCAATGGTCATTTGCTATTTTAGCAAATCCTAATTAACTTTCCCTCTAAGTTTGTATGTGTTGTTTGGATACAAGTTTTTTTGTAATTTTATTTTTGTTTATTTTTTGTCTTTTGTGATTTTTTTTAACTGTTTGTAAAAAAAATTATATATTTATATTATTCCCGACTAGACAAATATAAAAATTGAAAAAATTGGGAAAAAAAATATATTTAATGAAAAAAATGTATTTAATCTTTTTATTGCCTTCATTTCAAAAATAGTTAACATTATACATTGCAAAAATAATATTACCATTCTGTTGTAGAAAAAACTCAAAAATACAAAAAGAAAAGAAATTTCATTACAAAAATAAATAAAAA